ATATTTTGTAAATATATGAACGTCGCTTGCCACATATGACAACATATACATATTTTCTAATTTACGCAGTGAGTATTATTGTTAGTGTGCCTTTTTTGTATGGTGCAATGTGCATTTGATATAAAAGTACTTGAGAAAATATGGTGGTGTTAAGACAATGTGTTGAGTGGTTTGATTATAACGCGCACATAGATCATGCATGCATCGAACCCCAACTAAACACATACAGAAACAAATAGAAACCATGCATCTTCCCCTTCCCCAGGCTGGCACCAAATGTACCCCAGCTGTTGGTGGAGAAGAAGATCACAGATTTCCATCATAACAATGATATGAACAATAAACACTAAATCATAAATATTAAAAAAGATTTTGTTAGACAAGAAAAAAAAACTATTCAAATTTGTGAACTATTTAAATATGTGCCAACAAACCCAAATATTAGTAACAAAACACAATATGACTTTTAGAAAAAGAAATAAACTATATAGGCAAAAGAATGTTAGAAAAATTGAATTCACTAATTTCTAGTAAAATTTATTCGTATTTGTTTTGCCAACCTTTTTGATGGTGATGCCGAAACTTGTTCCAGATTCGTGCTGGCTGATTTGCGTTCTTGGTTGTTACTTGAATTTCAAATTAGTCGTTTTTCGGTTTAGGCGATTTTATTATTTTTTTTTTTAGATTTTTTGATTATAATGGGGCACACACACAGACACAGATTGAAACATACAGTTTGACACACATAAAATTATGAAAGAAAGAAAAAAACATAGAAATAAAAAAATTAAAATATGTAAACAAAAAACATTAAGAGATTATGGAATTTTATAAAAATTGTATTAGTAATCGTTTTTTTTTTTTTTTTTTTTTTTTTGTTATCGTGTTAGTAACAGAAATTGGACAGTTAGAAAAATAGTTTTGGAGCGAAAAAATTGAACACTACCAGAATGTTAAAAGTCTCTCTCTTTTCAATTCTTTTTCTTGGTTTCTTGACAACAAATCCAACAAATTTAGAAAAAATGGATCTCTGAAAACCAAGTAATAAAAAAATTTATATGTACGTCATTAACGAAACTCACTAATCTGACATAAAAAGTTCTGATAAGGTCAAGTGTTGAAGGACTTCAATCTTAAATTTTGAAACAATTCCTTAATAATGTTGCTTATATTATCAAAATACCTGATAAAGTGAACTAGACGAAGACGTGGACCTGAGTAGACTCAGAAGGAACTCCTTGTGTGGATTTTCAGACAATTTCATTGATAAATGTGACTAAAATCATGAAAATACCGAACATCGGGAGGTATCGCCATACGGAGGATATACGATATCCTGGACCTATGTAGACAATTATCTTACAGGGGGTGAAGTACCCACAAAGAACTCCTTGTGTAGAATTTCAGACAATTCCATTGAAAAATGTGCCTAAAATCATAAAAACAAACAGACGGACAGGGCTAAATCGCCTTCGAACGCTTATTAAGAGTATATATATACTTTGCTAAGTCTAAGAGTATTATTTCGGTGAATTACAAATGGAATGACGAACTTAATATACCCTCCATACTATGTACGATGGAGTTATTTTTATACCCTCCACTAATTTACAAAGACTAAGAGGAGGATACTACAATTTTGGAGAGAGCCACTAATCCCTGTTGGGTCCCCAGTTTTTTTTTTTTTTTTTGGGGGGGGAAACTTTTTTTCTGAAACTTTCGAAAGAAACTTTCAATTGAAGGGCTTAAATATAAAATTATATTTTGAGTCGTTTATTGAATAATTTCGGCCCTTTATTGCGAGCTACTGAAAGGCACCTGATATAAGTTTGATAGTTAAATTTGGTTTATATAACGTTTGGTTGAAATTATACGAAAGTGGGTCAATATATACGACTTTCAAAATAAATGTAGTATTTGTGAAAATATTGAGATACGCGTAGGCTTAGCGAATTTTAGGAATGAGATTTTTTACGAGAGTTATGATGATTAATAATGCCAGAAGGAGTATACATATATTTCCAATTTTTACACTTGCACTGAAATGGATACAAGTAGAACGACATCCTATAAATGATCACTTTTCTGGGAGGCATTAGAATAAATGGACCAATTTTGCCCATCTTCGAGCTCGATCCATTTGTGAGAGAAATATTAGGATATGTGAACCCAATCAAATACTTCCCCTTAGAGTTATCATCCGCACAAGCTAGCAAGGGACGACCATCGCTACATCAACCCCAAAGACGGATGTCGCCCAAAACGATATTTCGATAAGGGTACTAATCTTACTGTAGGAAAATTGTTTAAGTAGCTCAACCTAGTAATATAATATCCAATATAATGGTGTTTCGGTATTCCAATATTTTTTCATACATTTTCATTTATTCATTACACACTCCTTGAGAAACATTTGCTGTTCCCTACAAGATTTTGTACCCTATACCAGATGGAGGTTATATTACCTTTGTCATACTGTTTGCGACAGCTCGAAAGGTTCATTGGAAATCTCATAAATTACATATTTTTGGGACCACAATAAAATTCTAAGTCGAATAAACGACTTCCGTTTCTTTAAAACAGAACAAATGATACAATTTTCCAGATGAGACAATGAAATTGGGTTAAGATATTTATATCGTGAGATAATTGGTATTGAATGTGGAACATATTTGTCTACGTTCATGTATAGCTCCCACATAAGGATATATTTTGATTTTCGTTATTTTAGAAGTGTTGCACTTCAAATACAAAATGTGAAATAATTCCGGGAAATAATTTCGCTAAAATCATCAAAATACCGAATATCGGGAGTTCCGTTATATAGGGGCTATACCAAAACGTACACCTGCATAGACAATTTTCTGTCAAAGGATCTAGTATCCATTATGAACTTCAAATACCGAATTTGAAACAATTCTGGTGAATAATGTCGCAAAATCATCAAAATACCGAATATCGGGAGGTACCGTTATGTGGGGGCTATACGAAGACGTGGACCTGCAATTTTCTGTCATAGGCTGTAGTATCCATTTCGAACTTCAAATACCAAATTTGAAAAAAAATTTCTAAATACCGTATATCGAGAGGTACCGTTATATAGGGGCTATACCAAAACGTGGACCTACATGGCCCATTTCCAATACCAAAAGTCCTGCAGACATAATATCCATTTAAGTAAAATTTTATCAACCTACTTAATTTCGGAGTGATTTCCACAGACAGACAAACATCGCTAAATCGACATAGGATTCTATGGTGATCAAGAATATATATTTTGTGGGGTCTACAATGTATATTTTGAGGTGTTACAAACGGAATGACAAACTTAATATACCTTTCATACTATGGTGGTAGGGTTTAAATTCTATGGTGATCAAGAATATATATTTTGTGGGGTCTACAATGTATATTTTGAGGTGTTACAAACGGAATGACAAACTTAATATACCTTTCATACTATGGTGGTAGGGTATAAAAAATCAACGTTGATTCACTTTTTGGTATAGTCCCATATTGCAGTGTCCCCTGATTTTTAATACCTTAAAAGCTTTGGTCTAAGCTTCCAACCAAATCAAAAGTAATTTAATATTTTATATTTCTCAGTGGGTATCTAAATTTTTCAAATATTCAGCACCTCCTATTTTTCGATATTTTCGAAATTTGTGGTACTCAAGGTACCACGTTTAATTTCTCTCAAAAATAAAGTTTGTCATTCCGTTCGTCGATATAACCATTAATAAAACTATAAAAATATATATTCTTTATTGTCAAAAAATTTCAGTCTTTCTTTGGTCTAACTTTTCAAGGGATTGACTTAGATGACTAAAATTTTTCTCGAACCCATGGATAGAAAATGACATCTATCGGTCCAATTTTAATAGATCCCCAATATAAAATTACTTCTGGATTTTAGATATTTCGAAGTTTCTAACCATTGCAACAATTCATTATTTATGGGCCTGTTTTGTTAATGTTAGGATCCCTGGGAATCTTAATCCGAAATTTTCACAAAAATGTGGAAGAGAGGGAACCTTGCCTCTTCTATTAAGGTAGCTATGCGAAACCTTAGTTTGAAATAACAATACATGGAAAAAAGGTTCAAAAAGACCCTATGAGGGTTTGAATGTATGACTGAAATAATCCTCGCATTGTCATCTGTAATACTGCTGAAGACACTATATAGCTAAATTGTATGGACTCCATGGAATTTTAATCCGAAAACTTCACAAAAAGGTGGAAGAAGCATGGGGAACATTAGTCCCTTTATTTAGGTAACTTTGCAATGAAAACTTTTAAACTGCGATAAACCTGTTTCCAATTTTTAGCACTACTTTCATAATCTGCTGAAAATTTCCTGAAATTTGTAATATTTTCTATCTCCCTACCTTTTTCCAATCAATTTGGCTTAAGCATAATTCTAGTTTCTCGGGGCGTAAAACGCATATATCTTTGCAATACAGTTTAGCGTAGGTTTATGTTTTGGGGTATTGCCAGTTAATCTCTCCTCTCGTTATAAAGTCTCATAACCCCTTTCAAGGTTCTACTCTACTAAGCAAATATCATCACTTGTCTAGTTTTTAACTACTTCCCATTTCAAAAAAATTTGTAGTGTTCAATTTTTTTTCTGTTTTTTAAAAAGTTTTGTAAAAACATAAAATTTCATTTTAAAATAAATTTCGAACACTCAGTTTAAGATTAGGTTAAAACTTTTTTTTAAATTCAGTTATGAAATTTAAAACACAAAAATTATTATTTTTAACAAGCACAAATAATATTACCAAATATGTAAATATAGAGAGTAGAAAATGAAATTTTACATTAATATTCTCAAAATTACTTCAAAATACTGGGTTTGGGTGGAATTTTTTTTTTTTTTTCACAACGGGGGAGGTAAAAGAGCAAAAGCCTCACAAAAGGATACAAGTTAAGCAAAACAGAAGAACAAAAAATGATAAATATTATTGATTTGGAAATTTCAATTTCAATTCCATACTTACTTTGCATTTTTAGGCCTTCTTACTTCTATGGGGAAATCATCGTCGAAATCCAAATTGAAATCTTCTCCTAAATCCCGTGGCACCAAAGGGGTACGCTGATGGGCCGGACTTGTGTGATAGCCATCGCCATGCAGCTGTGGTTCGGATGAGTGTTTGTTCGTTCATTCGACAATCCAAATACAGAATTTCGTTTTGTAACAAAGAATTGTAAATATTTAGAGATTCAGAGTTTTTTTGAATTTAGTGTTTCAGTTGTAACAATTGGATGTTTTTGTGCGAGCAGTGAACGGGAATAAATGTATGATTTATGTCCAGACGATCATCATCAGCAGCATGTTTGCATCAATGTTTTGTTGTTTATTTGTAGCGGCAACCAAGTGGAGGTCAAAATTATGAACATTTGTTATGCAAATGGGGTGGTGTAGTGGTGGGAAATTGAAAAAGGGGAAAACAAAAGAAAATTTGAAATTGTTATTGTAAATTTTCGTTGCATGTATGATTTCTTTTACAAATCACTCAACAACATTCCGAGTTATTGTTATGGTTATAGTTCAACCCGAAAAGAAAAACTATATATCCATGGATGTACAAAACAAACACATACGATCGACCAATGATGCATTCAAAGAAAATTGGAATTGAATATAAACTAAAGAATTTTGAATTTTGGTTAGGGCAAAATGTAAACAATTTTAATAAAGACAAGGAATTCTCTGTAATTAAAATGATTTATAGAAGTATTCTGCTTATTTTTACAATGTTTTAAGGAAAATTTATGTGAATTAACTCATTTGCATGGTTAATTAGTTCAATTATCTACCGATTTTTTTTTTCATTTTTTTTTTTGTAATAAATAAAAATAGTAAAAAAGTAACTTACATTTTTATATATGTAATAATAATATCTAATAATAACCATGCAGACGAAAAACTATAAAAATATAAATTACTTAATTTTGAACCTATTCTGGGTGTCACATACAAAGGAACAAACTTTTCTTTAATGTTCGGGCTAAACACTTTTTGCCTGTCTGACTAGTGCACGCACCAACTCTAGAAGGAGGGGTTCTTGAGAAGACATCAAAAAAGTCTGAGATTTTTTTAACTAGATGTCCTTTTTGCCAGGATGTCCTTTAAAATTATAAAAATTTGCAATTATGGGTTCAAAGTACATTTAACAAGAAAGTCTTAAAGTCGGACGGGGCCGACTTTATGATACCCTACACACTAGTAGAGCTCTACATAACAATTAAAAGTTTTTATGACCGAATTCAATCCTACACGCTATGATTACAATTATTATTTAAAGTTCAAAGCACTAAATATGCCGAAGCATTTGTATCTTTTAAATTCGGACTTATATTGCTCATTTGGTGCAAAATTAATTTTAAATCATATAAATATATATATGGGAGCTATATCCAAATCTGAACCGATCTCGATAAAATTTGGCAAAGATATTTCTGAGCTGTATTTGATATATTTTCCCGAAAATCGTTGTTACGGAGTGCATATTACGGCTGTGAGTAACAAATACAACAAATCGGATGAACAGTATATATGGGAGCTATAGCTATATCTGAACCGATCTTCACCATATTTGGCATACTAGCTTCTAGACTCAATTCAGTCGCATGTGCCAAATTTCATCATATTAGACGTTTGGTGCACAATAAAAGGCAAATCGGACGAAGATGTATATGGGAGCTATATCTAAATTTTGACCGATTATCTCCAATTTCAATAGGGTTCGTCCTTGGGACAAACAAATGTTGTTTGTTTTGATAATAAATGCGACCTGCATTTTGTTCACAAGAATACATGGACAGACGGGCGGACAGACGGACTGACATGCATAAATCAACTCAGAAAGTGATTCTATGAAGATCAGCAGATGTGTGACTTTTGTGGGGGATGTACCAGAAGGAGTGGACCGATGTATTCCATCTTCACACCACATCTTATGTTAATACAAGTATTTTGATGTGTATAATTTGAATACAATCAGGCTCTTACTTCAGATTTTATAAGAGTTTTAATTATTTAAAATGTAAACCCTTTGTGGGGGAGGTACTTGATGGAGTGGATCGATATTGTCAATTTTCGCACCTAACCTAGCACTAATGCAAATGATAAGATTTGCAAAGTTAAAGAGAAGTTGGACTATCCTTTCTGTTTCTTTGGAGAACATTTTTTTTTTTCATTTCGTCCTATTTTGGATGGGAGGTACCAGAAGAAGTAGGCCGATATTACCCATCTCCGAACTCGATCCAAATTTAAAATTATCACGATGTACCAAGTTTGGAGCAAATCGAATACTCGCTTCGTGCGGGCCAGCCCGACAGACAGACTGACGGACGGACATCGCTAGATCGACTCCAAGGAGATCTAAAACTGTTATTTCGATGTAGCACGTTTTCAATGAGGCACGTTGACCGACATGGCCCATTTACGAGTATAACCTGCCTATTGACCAAATACACATATGGGCTAGGTTTCAGCTTTCTATCTCAAGTGGTTCGAAATTAATATATTGGAGGAGAGAGAAACTAATATATGAGAGGTATAGCCTACTTTGAATCGATTTCCACTAAATTTAACGAAAGCATTTCTGTCTCTATTCTGAAATTTGATGCAATTTCCGACATTTTTTGCTTTCATTCAATAAAATTTAAACAAAAATGTAAAAATTATGGCGGTTTACTTTGTTGCAGTTTTTTATCTCACCCCGTATATATTCTAGATCAGCGTATAATTCTGAGACCAATTAGCGATGTTAGATAGCGAATTGAGATAGAAGGTTAACATTTTGCACACATGTGTATTTTCCCAGTAGGCAGGTTATCGTGTTCGTATAGCCCCCATATAACGGTACCTCCATTTATTCGACATTTTGATGATTTCAGCGAGATTATTAACCGGATTTGTTTTAAATTTCGTATTCGAAGATCCTAATTAACCTATGTCAAAAAATAAAGCTCATCATTTAAACGGCATTTTTCGGTATTTGATGAAATTTTTCAAGTCCCTTCCAAATGGTGGAGGATACTGAAAGTTCGACTCGGTCGAACTTAGCTGCTTTTTTACTTGTTGGTAATGAAAATGGGCCAAGTAGTGGTATATCCCCATATAATAATATTGTAATGAATATAATTATACCTGCCAGATTTATGGCGTTTTGGTTTTTTAGTCACAATTTTAACTAGACTTAGCTAATTGGCAGTTTGTATTAGATTAAATGTTGGAAACATCTTGCGTAGAAATATCTATATCGGTTTAAGTATAATTCCCATATAAATTAAATCGCAATATTCGGTATTTTAAAGACTTTTTTCTAAATTTTTCAATAGAATTATATTGACTTGTTATTTGGAGTTCGTTATAGGCGCCCCTTCTCGGACAGATAATTGGCAATAGAGGTCCGCGTTTTTTCGCAGGATCCTTCCACATGATGGAGGGTCTTAAAAGTTCCACCCGGCAAACTTAGCTGGCCTTACTCTCATTTTAGGGTAGGAAAAATGTTTGAAAAAAAACTATTCAACTTTTAACAAGTAAGTAAAGGCTATAGTCGTGCGGTGCCGACCATGTGATACTCTACAACACTACAATATATTCGAAGTTCCCTTATATCCAAATCCATTTTAGAAGATTTAGTTTTTGAAATAATGCCAAAGAGTCCTGCCCAGAGGTTACCCTTAAGTTTTTGACCCGGAGAATTTGGCCAATATTTACACACTCTGTAGTGTTGTGAAGTATTCAAAACAATTGCACACGTAAGTTGTGGTCCATTTTACAGCTAAATATAATCCAATGGGCATCCAAAATGCTAGACTTCTTCCCTGTCCTCAACTCTCTTCCGATGCGAAATTGCGTGTCGATTAGTTTTCAATTATGGCGTATAGAGCGACTACAAAATTAGAAAAAAATAAGTTTTTTAGCCATTTAAACCTCTAAATGCACATCCGAAGAACAATAGGCTCATACAAAATTTCGTGAGGATCGTGAGGATAATTGCAACATACATATAATACCCTCAAAACGTAGTGTTGGGAGGTGTAAAAATTTAAAATTCAAAATTGTAAGTCAAATTGAAAGAATCGCATGCGATAAAAAATATGACAAAAATGGAAAAAAATGAAGCAAAAGATATAACTTTTTATTGATATACTATTCCACGACCATTCCAAATTGATGGGAATTGTGAAAATCGGCCCAGCGGTTCTTGATTTAAAAGCAGAATAAATGACATAATTTTTTTTACATATATATTGTACAAATTTTGCTATATATCCGATTTCTTGGCTATTAGCATCACTTTAATGGTCAGAAGTGATCTTTTAATGTATTTGTGATTTGGCAGGGATTAAAAATAGTCGCGGTTTAGGGTAAATTTTACCCGCTAAATATTGTCCGATGGCCGCCCAAATTGGTAGGTTTCTGCCCACTCCTAAACTCAAACTCCGTATAAATTTTCGCGTCGATTGGTTCATAGAGCAACTGCAAAATCAGAAATTTTTTCTGTTTTTGGTCCATTTCAACCCCTAAATATCGTGCTATCATCTCCAAAAACAATAGGGTTCTATTCTGATCATAATCCCACCTCCATTTTCAATTTCGTGAGGATTGGTTCATAATTGCGACCTGTAGCTTGTAGGTTTTAAAAACCTAAGACCTTTTTTGTATCCTTGAAATCAAGTTTGTTCCTCTGTGTGTAGTGGTATTTAAATTTTGATATAATAAAATAATAATTTAAACTTCTTTATTTACAATAACTGTTTGAGATGTGTAGGGATGTGAAAAAATATTTCGTTTCAACAAAAGCTATTCAATTCCAATTCAGAAGTTTTAAATGTAAATGAAATATGTAGTGTTATTCAATTAAATGTGATGAAGGAAATAGCATGAAATGTTTTGTCGAATATCATCATGAGACATTAGGTGGATTTTTGGACTTCAAGGGAAAACTCACTTATGCAAAATTTGATAAATAACAAATTTGATAATAATTTGATAATAACAAACAAATCAGATTGTTTTTCAACAAAGTTTAATTAATTAATTCTTATATTTGTATTCGATTTCTCTTTTATATAAAGAATAAATATTTTATATAATTTAATATAATTTTCCCTCGAAGACGCAAAACGCACCTTATGTTCGTATATAAATGAAACAATGTGTCATGTATGTGTATGATTGATGGATTGATTGATTACATGTATGAACGATGAGTTGAGCAACTTAATTATAAAACATAAATAAAATAGTAATAACAATAATAATTAATTCAATTAATTAAAGATAAAGGGCCAACCATTACTCGTGCAAGGATATTAACTTTATTTTCAGTTTAAAGTTGTTGTTTTTGTTTCATTGTCTTATTCTGTTTGATGACTGTGACTGTAATTTTGGGTGGAGTCTGTAAAAGGTTTATGTTTTTGGTTAATTTCAATTTTAACAAATGACAAAAGAGAAAAATACAACCCCTGCAGCAAAATATGTAACACAAACTGTAAAAATTATTTGAATTTGTTTTTAAAGAAAACAAAAGTTGTTTTTAATTTTCATTTAAATGGAAAAAGGGGTAAAAGAAAAGTTATTCCACACAGGAAAAAGAAATCCTTGTAACGAGTAGTTTTGCAGTTATGGCCCCTACCTTGACTATAGTGCCGACCTGTTGTAGCTCAGCCGATTGCCGATTATCCAAGAGATTTGCACGCTCCATTTGTTCAAGTGGTAATGATTCACGATTTTGCTCGTTTAATAAACGTTCTCGCATCTCATGTATGTAGGGACAACGCTGCATTCCTTTTTGTTGCCGTCTTGTTCGAAACTGGGGGGAATTGGGATGAGGGATGCTGAGTGGAATGACCAAATAGTTTTAGTGATAAGGCGTAGTTTTTGTTTTTGCTTGGTTTTCTTCAATGGGTAAATATTTGTTTCCAAATATGGGGAAACCTCAAGAGGGGGGTTCTTAGAGTGTCTTATCAAAAATGTTGTAGCTAATTTTTGTTATAATTTTTTGCTTTATATAAAAAAAATTTTGTAGGCTTTTTGTATAAAATTTAATAGGCAAAAATCAGTCGATTTTGTTGAAATTCCATTAGCTTTGCTGAAGAATATTTTCTTGGTCAATCTGCAAAGAGAAAAATTAGAAAAAGGAAATTAGTTTGTATTGAAAGAAATTAAAACGAAGCAAATACAGATTAGTTTATATCCACTAAATAAGAAGAGTTAAGGATTATTATTTTTAAAATATAAACAAGAATAGTAAAATAACTGACTGACCGTATCAACGCCCAGATGAAATGGCTGAAGCTAGAAACTTGAAATGGGTGCAAAAAGTAAAAAAATTGAGTACTTTGTATTGGACAAATGCTACGAACTACAATTCTCAAATTTGAGATGAATGAGAAACACTGATTCCGTGCAGGAATTTGGTCATGAGGACCTTTATATAGGGTGAGATTAAAAAAATACATCCAACTTTAGACTGCCGTGATCTCTAAGCCTCTCGTCCGACAGCTGTTAAAATTATTCCAGTGACAGATCAGTATATTGTTTTCAAGCGTACAAAAGCATTTTGGTTATAATTTTCCAGAAAAAAAGATATTCGTGATGGAATTCAAGCGTTATAGTGTGATTTCTCTATATTTGGCTGGAAAACCACAAGTGGCTATAGTTAGAGCACTCCAGCATTTAAATGTGATTAAATATTTTGTGTCTCGTACCATCGCTCGTTACCGTGAGACTGGTAGTATAGCCAAACGTTAAGGAAGTGGACGGGAGAAAACAGCAACATCAGCAGAAATGGTTCGAAAAGAGAAGAAGCGACTTAATCGAAACCCAAGTCGTAGTGGCCGAAAAATGGCTGGTGAGCTGAACATATCGCAACATTTCATTCGGCAAATATTGAAAATGAGCTCGAGGTAAAGCCATTGAAATTCCAAAAAGTGCAAGAACTTACACCGCAACAGAAAAAAAATAGACTCAACTGCTGCTAGAACTGCCGAATTTGGTTTTCTCCGATAAGAAAACATTCGTTGTCCAGCAGTTTGAAAACAAACAAAATGATCGTGTTTACTAACCAAAGAGGTCAGCTGAAAATGTGCACCTTCGGTTGGCCACCAGTACTCAAGCGCCGGCCGTGGTGATGGTGTGGGACGCTATAACAGCCGATGCTCGCTCTCCGCTCATTTTACTCGACATCAGAAAAAATGACGAATATTATCATAAAAATATTCTGGAGAGTGTATTAAAGCCTTGGACACGCAAACATTTTGGCCGCAGACCTTGGACATTCCAACAGGACTCAGCACCATCGCACTCAGCACGCACCACCCAAGAATGGTTACAAAATTAGGTTCCTCGCAAGCAAGCGCTTCGCCGGGAATGGGCCAAAATACCGCAGAGCAGATTTCATTGACCGTTTGAAGGCCATAATTTATGCCAAAGGTGACCAATTCGTACAAATCGAAACTTATTCTAAAATGTGCTGCTATTTCTGACACTTTTTGCTTTCATTCAATAAAAATTTAAAAAAATATAAAAATTATGTTATCACGTTTATTAGTCCTTTGGTCCTTGAAAAAAATATTCTTTGAAAATCCACGTTTATTAGTCCTTTGGCCCTTGAAAAAAATATTCTTTGAAAATCCACGTTTATTAGTCCTTTGGTCCTTGAAAAAAATATTCTTTGAAAATCCACGTTTATTAATAGTCCTTCGAAAAATTATTTTTAAAATACCACGTTTTTTTATAGTCCTTGGAAAGAAATATTCTTTAAAAATCCACGTTTATTAATAGTCCTTCGAAAAATTATTTTTAAAATACCACGTTTATTTATAGTCTTTGGAAAGAAATATTCTTTAAAAATCCACGATTATTAGTTCTTTGGTCCTTGACAAAAAATATTCTTTAAAAATCCACGATTATTAGTTCTTTGGTCCTTGACAAAAAATATTCTTTAAAAATCCACGATTATTAGTCCTTTGGTCCTTGGCAAAATATATTCTTCAAAAATCCACGATTATTAGTCCTTTGGTCCTTAGAAAAAATATTCTTTAAAAATCCACGTTTATTAGTTCTTTGGTCCTTAGAAAAAAATTGTTTAAAAATCCACGTTTATTAATAGTCCTTGGAAAAAATATTTTTAAAAATCCACGTTTGAAATTGAAAATCTTGAGTTCTTCTAATGTCCACAGAAGACACTGAGGTCTTCCTTCGAGCGTCCGTAGAAGACTTCCAGCTCTTCCATTGTCCGTAGAAGACATAGTCTTCTCTTGTCCATAGGAGACCTCAAGGTCATCTTTTGTCCATAGAAGAACTAAGGGTCTTATATTGCCGATAGAAGACTTCAGGATCTTTTATTGTCCATAGAAGACTTTAGAGTCTTCTATTGTCCATCGAAGATTTTAGGGTCTTCTAGTGTTCACAGAAGACCTCAGGGTCTTCTGTTGTCTATGTAAGTCTTCAGAGTCTTTTATTGTATATTGAAGACTTCTGGGTCTTCTATTGTCTATAGAAGTCCTAAGTCCTTTTGCCTTTAGAAGACCTGGTGGTCTTTTTTTGCCTATAGAAGACTTAGAGATCTTCTATTGCCTATAGAAGACCTCGGGGTCTTACATTGACTATAGAAGACTTCAGGGTCTTCTATTGTCTTGGAAAGACTTCAGGAACTTTTGATATCGATTTATTCATACATTAAATATTTTTTTGTTCTGAGTTTATTCAAACCGCTTCTGTTCGTATTTCTTTATTATCTCCATAAATTATGGACAATAAAACAAACAGCAAACGCAACTTATGTTCATCATTATTGCCAAGAATAGAGGGTGTGAATTTCCATCCGAATTTGTACAAATTCAAAACAATTTTCTGGCCAAATGCCCATTTATGCGGCTCTGTGTGTGTGTGTGTGTTCTCCTTTTTTGGTGTAAACAAATGGCAATTTAAATGACCATTCATAAAATGATACGCCGCAAAAGTAGTTCATAAAATAATTTTGGAATTTGTTGGTTTGGTTTTTCGGGTAAACAAAAAGTCTATTGTAATCTGCGTGCGTGTGAGTGTATGTATTCAGAAATGTGTGAAATAAGTGCTAAATAATATTAATATCATAGTTTATAGATGCACATTATTCGTTGATTATTTCGATTTCAAAAAATATTAATTAATTGTTTTTTTAGCGAAAATTTTTCATTGTGGCGTAAGATATCAAAGCATTTTTGGAAGGAGGAAAAACCATAAAAATTTCAAAATTCCTTTTATTTGTGAAACAAAATATCATAATAGGTTTTTAGGAAGTTAAACGATTAAGGTCATTCAACAATTCTTTAAGGATATATAGTAGGTAGTAGTAGGTAGTGTGGCAAAACCAAGACGAGAATTTTGGGTCTAATGGAATCCCTCAGCCCCTTACCCAATTCTATAGAACGAATAAAGATGTTCTAATCATTTTTTATTCCTTATGATGATAGTTATTTCCCCCATACTGTCCTAAATCGAAAACTATATACAGGGTGAGATAAATAAACTACAACAAAGACAAACGCCCTAATTTTTACAATTTTTTTTAATTTTATTGAATCAAAACAAAAAATGTCGGAAATAGCATCAAATTTTAGAATAAATTTAGATTTGTTCGAATCGGTCAACTTTGGCACTTTAAAGGGCCAATGAAACATTCACACGCTGCCCGAATGTTGCTCTGCGGTATTTTGACCCTCCAAGTATTCTATGGATAATAGAAGACCAGGTCTTCTACAGGATGAGATAAAAAACTGCAACAAAGTCAAGCGCCATAATTTTTAGGTTTTTTTTTTTTTAATTTTATTGAATGAAAGCAAAAAATTTCGGAAATAGCATCAAATTTTAGAATAAGTTTAGATTTGTTCGAATTGGTAACCTTTGACACGAATTACGGCCTTCAAACGGCCAATGAAACCATCACACGCTGCCCGAATGGTGCTCTGCGGTATTTTGGCCCACTCCCGGCAAGTGCTTGCTTGAGATGATCAACACTTTGGTATTTTTTAGTGTCCACCTTGCTTTGCAAAACACTCCAGACACAATAGTCCAACGGATTAGTATCCGGAGATTTTGGTGGCCATTGTGCGCTGGAAATGAAGCGCGGAACCTCACTTTGTAACCATTCTTGGATGGTGCGTGCTGAGTGCGATGGTGCTGAGTCCTTTTGGAATGTCCAAGGTCTGCGGCCAAAATGTTTGCATGCCCAAGGCTTTAATACACCCTCCAGAAAATTTTCGCGATAATATTCGGCAACGGATTGGTATCCGGAAAGTTCGGTGGCCATTGTGCGCTAGAAATGAAGCGAGGAAACTCATTTTGTAACCATTCTTAGGTGGCGCGTGCTGATTCCTGTTGGAATGTTCAAGGTCTGCTGCCAAAATGTTTGCATGCCCAAGGCTTTAATACAACCTTCAGAATATTTTCGCGATAATATTCAGCATTTATTCTGATGCCACGGTCGATTAATACGTGCGTAGAGCGACCATTGGCTGTTATGGGCGGCCCACAACATCACCATGGCCGGCGCTTGAGTTCTGGTGGCCAACCGAAGGTGCACATTTTCAGCTGACCTTTTTGGCAAGTAATGTTTTCTAATCGGAGAAAACCAACTTCGGCAGTTCACCACTTTCAGCCAAGCAAAGCAACTCTTTAGCTCTTATGAGTCTATTTTCTTTCTGTTGCGGTGTAAGTTGCTGCACTTTTGTCTTCAATGGCTTTACCCCGAGCTCATTTTTCAATATTTGCCGAATGGAATATTGCGATATGTTCAGCTCACCAGCCATTTTTCGGCCACTGCGACGGGGGTATCGATTAAGTCGCTTCTTTACTTTTCGAACCAATTCTGCTGATGTAGCTGTTTTCTTCCGTCCACTTCCGTGACGTCGGCTACGCTACCAGTATCACGGTAACGAGCGATGGTACAAGACACAAAAGATTTATTCACATTTAAATGTGCTCTTGCGATAGCCACATGTGGTTTTCCAGCCAAATATAAAGAAATCACACTATCACGCTGGAATTCCATCACGAATAACTTTTTTCTGGAAAATTGTCACCAAAATGCTTTTGTACGCTTATAAGCAATATAATGAGTTGTCACTGGAA